CAGCCTCATTCGAGGCCATTAACTCCCACCCCAGAAGAAGGGATGGATCCCCCACGTCAAGAGATTGGTACCCAACTACTTAAAAGCTGCATTTGGGTACCATATTTAACTACATTTTACTCGTGGTAAATCAAAGTCTATTGCAATCTTATAAATCTAATTTGGATGTTAGATTGTCAAAGGTTTAAGTGGCAATACACATCACAGATTTTGAGCTCATACAAATTGAACTATAAAATTTGTTTTGCCTTTGCAACTTGCTGAATATAGCTTTTGAGAATCTACAACCAGGTTTGATGCATGTTAAGTAATTTTCTTAAAGATAAAAATTATAAAGTGACAAAGAGAATGAGACAGAAATTAGAGCTCCACCAGGAAAAAGAAAGAAAGAAGATTCCTGTGAAATTCTTACAAAGAGAAAACCATGAACCTATATAGGAGACTCTTCTAGCCATCAAAACTTTTGAGAAAAAGAGATTGTTAAAACATGCAAAACTTTGGACCTGGTTGTTCTATTTCACCGGGTTGTTTCCTTGCCAAAGCCTCTATTTCACCTTTGGACCACATACTCATACATCAGCATGCACCAGCATTAGATGCTTTGTAGCTCTCTAAGATTTACCAACTGGAAACTTTTCACGATGTTGCTTTCCAAAAATACATGGTTCACATGATGAGTAATGTTTTTGAGTACTTTTGTCATGTGCCAAGTTTATATTTTGTACCTTTTGGATTATGGTTCGGCGACAAGTTTGCTAGAAACATTTGATCTATTTTGGTACGACAAGCTTACGTAAAGTACCTTTCAATTAAGGTGTTTTGGATATTTTGGGATTATGTTTTTTTTCTTTTATTTAATGGTGCATAATTATATTGTCTATATTTTCCAATTAAAGTTGAATTATGTTATACAGTTGTAGAAAATGGTCAAAGGAAAAAGACAATGGCTGAAACCAGGTGATTTGAGAACTAAGAAGCTAACAGAATATGAGAAACAAAGAAATAAGCAAATCAAGAAGAACTATGAGGTAATGAACAATCTTGGATTGAAGAATATCACAAATTCTTTGATGAGTGTGGTTCAGCGCAAATGTGCAAATGCAAAGGAAAAGGGAATTAGGGTTGAGGTAGATGATGATGATGAGTATAAACCGTCAGAGAGTGAGAACGAGAGCGATAATGAGTCATTGGGTTCCTTTTACCGCAAGGTATTATATACATTATTTTATATTTGTGTGTGAACATGCCTTTTACTATTTAAATATCTTCTTCATATATCTTAAACATCATATCTTTTTTAAAATATATTTAGCTATGTTAAATATCTTCTTTACTATTCGATTATGTTATTTCAGGAACAAGAGATGCCACCGGGGTTTCGTTTACAATCTCATTCGGGGCCATTAACTCCCACCCCAGAAGAAGGGATGGATCCCCCAGGTCAAGAGATTGGTACCCAACCCTTACCACTTCATAATGTGCAACTTGAGCATGAAGTGACTGCATCTAGCAGTGTTGGTAAGTCTGCAAAGTTGTTTATATTCAATTTGAGGTCTAACTTGCATTTGTTTACTTACTAACTCAATTAATATTATGTCCTTACAGTATCACATGACAGATGTGGTTGTGGTCCAACACGCGGCATACAAACCCAATGCATTGTCGAGAAAGATGGAAAGATGTTGGTTCCTGTACCTGAACAGTTCCGTGCACCAGTAGGAGATCAAGCCTCTAAGTTGGCCTCCAAGATTGACATAGAGGTTCGAACGCAATTACCAGACTTGAGTGTTTGTAGGTGGAAGAAGGTTCACGATGCTGATAAGAAGCCGATGATCCAACGCTTGGAGGTAATTATTGTCAAGTAAAAGAGGCATGACACATGAAAATTGAAATTGAAACCCTTCACTATTGCCTTCGATATTTTTTGAAACTGAAATTGAGGTGATAAATGGAAAGGATTAGAGAAAAATGGTGTACCATAGGGGTTTATTTCAGTTTGTTGCTTGGTCATGCTCAAGTTTTTGCTTCTTGTGAGAACTACTCTCTTTGTTAGGGTGATTACAAGAACTTGCTGCTAAACAAGATATTACAAGGTAGCATATCAAAGACTTCTAGTTTTGGAAAGATTTTAACGATTAGTAAGAATGCAACTATAACTATGTATTCCAGTTTGCATCCTTGCGTAGTGAAACACAACAGAAAATCTAAAAATTTAACTAGTGATGCATATATTAGTAAACACTAATATAACTAGTGATGCCAACAAATAAACAAGGAAGTATTCTTGTCAGTACTAATCAAATCATGGAAACAATAGCTATGAATAGATGGAGGTCATTATATTGGCTTTAGGAAGGTGACAGACAGCAGAGGGTATTTGATTTAATTAGAATAGATGGAGGAAGGAGGCAAAGATCCTTGGTTAGCTGAAGCAAGGGTGCCTGAATTGTCCAATTCAGAAACAGATGAATTAGCTAAAACAGGGGCAGTAACTCTAGCATGTTTGATGGGCCACTTTTCACTTGATGAGTTGTGTGATGTAGTAGGCAACCTCATTTTCTGTCAACTGATAAGATTGCTACATTTTACCAAGATTGATATTATTTTTTTTAAATAAGAAAATTGCTCTCTGGGATCAAAATGTCTTTTCCCATGCTTACTGACTTCTCCTGATGATTAATCATTTTGTTTAGTAGGTCTTGGTGCAAAGGGATTTGGACTTCCTGGAAAACTATCCAATGTTAAGGTCATCCTTAATGGTGGCCAGAGGGTCACATTCCTCAAGCCTGATGGATATTTTTCATTGTATCCTACCACCTTCATGTCATGCATTGAGACTTGACCAATTTTATTTTTGACTTATCTTGCTCGCATTGTATAACTCTGCACTCTTTTTTCTTTCTATGACTGAAATTGTTTGGTGTTCTACACATTGCTCTTTTCTGCTCCTTTTCTCAGTAGGTGGTTGCATCTTTTGGGGCTTTGTAGATTGAATTTGTTTGAAGTTTTCAAACTTGATTTCCTAATGCTTTAACTCATGGTGGGCAATGCATACATCAACAATGTCGTTTGGTTATACTTCAAAATACTAAGTTTCTATAAATGGCTTAGGGATGTAATGGTCATCATCTTTTGGAGGTTGGATAAATGTTTCAAAGTGGTAATCAAATGAAGGGAGAACCGACATGCAATGGATAGGGAAAACTTTGCGAGATTCTGTATGATGTCAGATCAGAAAAGAGTATCAAATAGTTCAAGTAGCTATGAAGGCATGAATTGGAAACTGACAATTCATCAACATCAATAATCAATATTGTCATTAAAATTCATGCCTTCATAGCTATTAGAGTGAAGTTTTGTTCTGGCCTTTGATAAAAAGGTGTTGCACCTAAATTTTACTAGTTTGTATTTTGATGTTTCTTTTTTTCATTTAATTTACGAATGTTTTATGTTTTTGGTATCAGGACACCTTCAGCTTCTGCATGTCATTCATGTTTGCTAATTTAATGTGTGGCTTTTTATTGAGTTCTAATTTTCTGCTTCCAAAACCATTTATTTTGGGTATGGCTCTTTCTGGTTAGTAATAGTATCCTATAGTTTATGTAAATGATCTTAGTTGAATTGAAACCATGTTGAACAAATGGTTCCTCAACTCTTTTATTGACTACCATGTTTACTTATTATATATACCATAAAACAGTCAACTGCCATTAACTCAAAAATAGCACAAAAAGCGTATTTGAAACTATACTAGTACTGGAAAAAACAACTATTGCTTGAATGTTGCAGTGTCTTCTGTTCTGTTGAAAGTTTGATAGCGTTGCAAAGTTTAGGGTTAGCTAATATGTTCTCTAGGCTTTCAACTTGCAAGTTGTTACTGGGATGATTTTTGCTTTCATAACCAGAATATTTATATAATTGTGGGTTTCTTAGCAAATATAGGACTGGTTTTGTTAACAGAGGTGCTTGGAAATTTAATTATTGAGTTGGTTGTTCTTAGCAATGAAAGAGCAATTTCACATTTATAGGAAAATAAACTAAAATAAGATAAAATGAACATCTAAATATATAATTTCTGGTCAGTGTGAAATTAGATTTGAGAGCTTCCACGAAATTCTAATATAACTAGTGAAGCCTACAAAATAAACTGTATATATCACAGTTGGTTGCTGCTACGTCTAATTGTGTATGTGAACAAAATTTAGGTTATTTAACTTATAAAAAAAATGATTTGATTTTGCAGGATCAATTTGATCTACAAGGCAATCCGAGTGATGTAGCAAGGACTTTAAACACAGTTTGGTCGGCGATTGAGTAGCTTCACCTATAGGTTGCACAAACAATACAAGCAACTTAAGGATGCAAGAGGGGAGGAGTACGCGAGAAGCCATCCACCTACAAGTGTTACTCTTAATCAATGGACATCTCTAATTGACAAGAAGTGGAATAGTAAAGAATTCATGGTATAATGTTTTATGTTAATTGTCAAAAATTAATTTTCTTCTTACTAATGTTAAGTTTTGTTGTTTTTATTGGCAGTTCAATCGTGCCGGAACAATCACTAACTAATGTGAATAATAGGATGCAAATGAAAACAAAACATAGATGTGGATCAAAATCAATCCCGGTCAGGGTGCACAGTTCGGTGTGTTCTGCTATTTTATTTTATTGGATTAGTAGGCTTTGTTATTTAAATATTTGAAATAACATTCAAAAACAGATGAATCAGATAATTGCAAATGGAGAAGTGCCTGAGTTGGCAGAATTTTACAAGTCCATCCACTATAATTCAAACATGCATGAATGGATTTCGTCGAAGAGCCAAGCTAATTATGTATGTACAAGGCAATGCATATTAATTTTGATAAAATTATTTATTTGCTTTGTAGGGTAGAATAACTAATAATTGTTCGATTTATTTGAAATTAACAGGACAACATGATACAGACGCAAGCAGAACACCTCTCGCAGACTGGTGTGATCCCCTTGAGCCCAGAGGAGTTGTCAGTCAAGGTGCTTAAGCCAAGGTCAGGTTATGTGAAAGGACTCGGCTTGAGGCCTTCTTATTCTATGAAGACTGCTGTTGCACCTTCTGAAAATAGTGACTATGTTCAATGCCTTGAGATGCAAATAGCACAGCAAAATGAACAAATTGCAAGGTTTCAAAAGTCAGAGAAGAAACAAAGCAAGAAGATACAAAGTATCATAGAGTGTTTGACGCAGAAAGGTATCACGGGAAATTTTGAGAATGGGGAAAGTTCAGATTCTGATGAACAAGCTTCTTGGTTAGTATATTATGTTTATATGTTAATTTAGTAGAACATTTCTTCTTTAACTAGGGTAGAATAAAAAACTACTTTTGACATTTAGGCACAAGGTCCCGGGAAAATAGTGAAATATGCATCTAAAGGCCCAAAAAACATCACAAACACCTTGAGATTATCAGAAATTATCACGAACACTTTGGGAGGAATCAACATAAGTTGTGAAAACTTACAGAACAATCATAGGACTCTCGGTTGGAAAACATTTAGGCTTGAAAATAGGCCGTTAGGGAGTAAAATCTTGAAATAGTCGTTAAAAGGCCGAGAAATATCATGAACACCTTGGGAGGAGCTAATGTCAATTGTAAAAATTTACGGAACAAGCACGGTAAAAATTTGGTTTAAAATTTACTTTGAAATTTTTATTTTTTCTCTTATAGGTTGCATATTAACATATTTAGTGAATGGTTACCTTAACCTTTTGTTGTTGTTGTCTTTTCTTTTTATTTTTTCTTTTTTAAATGGCAGATTGGAGATGAACGAATTTGGTAACCCGCATAGCAAGAGTTTTTTGTTGATATTACCAGACACATCCATCACAGTGTAGTTGTACTTTTTGTTGATATTACCAAACATGTATTTTGACTATGTTGTTGTGGGCTATGATTATATTGTGATGGATCTTATCTTTTTGTTGATATTTTATTGAATAGATTAAAATGAACAGGTTTTTGTTGATATTACCAAATGAACAGGTTTTTGTAATGATTTGTAATGGATATTATATTCAGCAGGTTATTAAAATGCACAAGTTATTTTGATTGTGTTGTAGTTTTTGATTTTACTAAAATAGATGTTATAATTTAGATGTTATATATTAATTTCTTGATACTATGAGACATGTATTTTGCTTGAGTTGTTTTATGATAATGAACAAGTTAATTTTATATTGATTTGTATTAAATATTTTATTTAATAGATTATTAAAATGTACAGGTATTGTTTATTGAAAAAAATATATAAATTGCAAATATAACCCTCCCCTCAATTTTTAAAAATTATTTATTATTGGTGACGAAAAAAAATTGACACTAAAACTTTCTAATCCCAACAAATAATTTTGTCACACATTCACTATTTCATCACTAAATTAAAATATTTTTTGACAAAAAGTTTTCGTCACTGAAAGGTCTTTTTTTTCCATCTTTTGGTGACGATATTTTCGTCACTAAAAATTTTATCACTATTTTTAATGACGAAATATTTTGTCACCCAAAACAAATATAATAAAATTGTTTGTTTTGTAAGGGCAGAGCACAAAATCAATGAATGAATGAGAGATCTAGAAGGTCCTCGAGTACTTCTTGATTTCGTACATAATTGAAGATATGGAAACAAGATCCTTGTTTGGGGCAGTCCCGCCAACAATCCTCTTTATGCAATCTGTGAGCCTTGTATAATAAAGCAGCAGCTGTGTCAATGCAGCTCGTAATATCTCCATTCCACACAAGAAGTTGCTGAAAGAAGTAATCACATCATTGTGCATCAGCTCTATTGCAGCTTTCCATCTACTTGCAAAGTCTTTCACAAGCGGCTCAACCTCTGAAACTGTTATTGCCCTCTCTGGGCCAGAAGTTGGATCCTCAGCTGATAAAAATAACTTGCAAAATATAAGTCCACCTTCTGAGAAAATACACAACACATTTAATGATGCCCATAGTAATAACGTTCTTCAATATACTTACAGGCTCTGGTCTTTACAAACTTGATAAGATCACTGAAATGCTCTAGCAGTAATTCTTCCTGCAAGGAACAACAAGGAGCAACATCTCAGGGACCAGATGACAAGAAATTAACATCCATTGACATCTCACATTCAAGGCCCTGATAACTCAGATTGACATGAGTCTAACAAGCAGTCAACTGCCAAAAGTATCTGACATGAAGGACACTGCTGTTAATGGCCATAGAGCTCCACTCGTTAGTTACCTAACACTCCATTAACTTGATGAAACTAGACACCTAAACACTGCTGATCTGAAACCCATCTATGCTACCAGTACACAACATTTTTTGGTTTCAGGGTGGAGAATGTTGCAACTGAAATCACTTAAAGTCAAAAGATAATGAACCTTAGATACAATAAAAGGGCGGAGTCAATATTCAGGTGCATAAAAATAATTTGATTTTAGAAGCAATCTTGCTTTGCTTTGTTTACATTGTATTTTAAAATTCTTGGGGTAATGAACCTGTTGGAGAAACCCAGTTTCTCTGCTTTTATTTTAGCAATCTCTCTTTCGTATGCAAGCAAGCCCTTAATGCTGCCATTGGTGAGTGGTTACTTACCACAAAAATCGCTGTGCTGTTCTTCAGCAATTCCTCAAAGTGCAGTTGAATCTTCCCACCTTCAGCACCAGCTTCCTGGAACCAAATGATAAATATTAAATCCATCAGAGCTCCCTAGGGTATTAAGTAACACATTTTTTATCATCTTAATTAGTTAGTTATGTATTCCATTAGCAACAGCATTGTATTTGGGATAAATTTTATTCACATTTCTTCTCAACCTTGGACAAGTATGCAGTTAGTATCCACCTTTATTTGATGCCAACCTAATATAGACACAGTAGATACAAAACATTACCTTCAATATAGCAATTGTCATGTCATAGTTGTTTATTAGAAAAACTGTCTGCAACTTTGGCTTTGGAAACATTTTCGCAAGCTTGACAAGCAAGTCATCAATAGCCATTCTCAGTCTTTCCAAGTTCAGGTCAAGCTGGAAATATTAAAAGCAGCAAACTTAACTAATCATTCTGATATAAAAATCCAACAAGAAAAATTTAAATACCCAAATGCCTAACCTGACCATCTCCATATTCAACATTAAGATGTATAAGTGAGGCAGTAAACTCAGCATAGCGCCTCATCACATAGTGAGGATGTACATCATCTTCCCATAACGTCTTCACATTTGCATTTCGCAAGCTGCTCAGGTGCATGTCAAATACCATCTTGAAACGAGGCCATAGAGCAATATTGATCTGTATACAGATTCATTAGAGAATACTTTCATTAAATGGATTAGGGTTTAAAGATTATCTGCATAGATCATGTGGATAAGGTTGTGGCCCCTTTTTGATGCCTTTGTGTGTGCGTGCGCGCACTTGCATGTGTGCTTTACTAATCTAGAAAAAAGGAAAGCACCAATCAGTTAACCATTAGCTCATATGGAGATATGAGAATATAGATCGCATGTAGATATGGTTGAGCTCTATAAGAACATAAAATATAATCTCTTGAAGAGAAGAGGACCCATTTATCTACAAGGAAATACAATTCCCCAAAAATATATACAAAAGAACACAAGGAAAAGGAAACATCTCTCCAAGCCAAAAAAACCAAGGAAACTAGCACCATTCCTTTCAAGCAATGAATAGGACACTATGCCTTTGAAGGACCATCTATTTCTCTCTCTCCACAAACACCACATTAGGCATATAATGGAGAAGCCTCTTGAACCTTCCTATCAGTACAATGATAACCCCTACTTCAAGAAGCAAATTGTTCCCAACTGAACTAGGCCTCACCCATATAACTCCAAAAGCATCGTACACCATACCCCAAATCTCTCTGACAAGTGATTACTGCAGAAGCAGATGATTGACACTTTCTCCATCATTCTTGCACAAGCAACACCAGTCCAACATGACTTTTCCTCTCTTCCTCGTCAGTCGTTAAGTAAAGCTTCAGGAGCAGCTATTCCATGCAAGAATGCCAACCTTGGAGTGAGCCTTTGATTTCCAAATCCCTCTCCATGGGAAAGAAGCATATCCCCAACCCCAACAAGGTTTCAATAAAGAGGCCATAAAAAACATGCCACTCATAGAACCTCTCCCAACTAAATTATCTTCAACCCTACCTGAACCAGGCTCTCTTGTAGCATCCCAAAAAAACACCTCCACCAACTCCATCCCACAGTCCCGCAAAGGTCTCCGGAAAATAAGTGTCCATACCACACTTGCAGGGGACAAAATCCAACAGTCCACTACTGTAAGCCCCTAAAGTCATAACAAGACCATAGCGATCTGGTAAAACGTCATCAGTCCACCACATTCCAAACTTTCTTAGCTTTAGAGGATAATCAAGCAATGGAGGCTCCTCTTGTTCTAGTCTTTCTTCTTCAATAATCCAAAACTCGGTTTTGTCAATGCTTTCAATGTCAATGGGATCATAATTCCTTGTTTTGTAATACCTCCTATATTGATTCAATTGTAAGACTAAATAAACGAATAAAATAAAGAATGCATTAGTTACTATATGAGAAAGATTGATTTACCTATTCTTTAATCGCAAGTTGTAATGAACATACACAAGATCATTAAGCCTATGATGTTCTAGTCTATTCCTCTTCTTTGTATGTATGTGTTCAAAGACGCTCCAATTCCTTTCACACCCAGAAGAGCTGCTAGTTTGACTAAGAATTCGAATGGCTAACTTTTGCAAATTTGGAGCACTGTGTCCAAACATCTTCCACCATTCATCTTATTATCAAGAAAGAAAGAAAGATATTATAAAAAATAAAAAATAAAAAGAAACAAGAAATAGATAAATGAGATAAAATATTCTAATCAAAAGCATATAATAATGATAATTACTATTAAAAAAAGAGAGAGATTACCAGGTTGTGTTTTCTTTGATGTAATAATGGCAAGCTCTCTTCCAAAACTGTCTTGTCGATCTCGAAACAATCTAAGTTCATTCATGAGCTTTGTTTTACTTGATGTGGCTTTAGTTTCAATCACATCAAGTACACTATTCATAACCTCTGACTTTTTGCAAATTGAAGCTTGATCATATTGAAAAGTTGGGTTCAACCAATAAGTTGCCGCATGTATATTCTTCCGCAATTAATTATCCCAACGATTTTTAATGATTGTTGTGTAAGGCTTATACAACCTCTTATTTCTCTTGAAAATATCTTTAATACCTTTGATTGCCCTATACATGCCTTCATAAACATATCCCATGGACGGTTTTTCATCTCCATCAACAATACGCAAGAGACGCATAAGTGGCTCAACAATCTTAACAATGATGAAGCAATCCTTCCAAAATTGTTTATCTAAAATGATATCAATGGCATCCTTTCCTTTCTTCTCTTTGGCAAACCTTGAACTTGCAAACTCCTTACTTGTCACCAAAGCTTGCAAATCATGCATATGCTCATAAATGCTATGCAATGCAAGGAAAGTAGTGGCAAAGCGCGTTGCTCCTGGGCGCACAATTTCAGTCCAACTCTTCTTCTTTCTCAACCGAGCTAACAACCATGAACGGTTGTATATGTACCTTGTCACCTTTGATGCCTTAATAGCAAGCTCATGCACATGATTCATCTTGGAAATTTCACTTAAGATTAAGTTCAAGCAATGAGCTGAACATGGAGACCAATTTATAGATTTGTAAGTTGCATTTACAAGTCCTCTAACAGCTTTATAATTTGCTCCATTATCTGTCACCATATGAACAACATTCGACACTCTTACCCACTCAATAACCTCTAGAAACAATTTAGAAAGAAGAGTAACATCTTTGACAGCATTAGAGGCATCAATTGATGCAATTCCCATAGGGCTATACACAAGAAATTTATTAGATTTCTTTGTCTACCATCAATCCAACCATCACCCATAATAGTACATCCACACGTAGCCCACGAACTCTTCAAAGTGTCAATATACAATTGAAGCTCTTTTTCTGAGTCTCTCAATAAAGGAACTCGAAGTTGATGGTAAGTAGGGATCTTATATCCTGGACCAATAGCAATTGTGGCATCAAACATGGGCTGAAAATAAATGGAGTTCACAGCATTGATTGGAATACAAGTATCATAAAAGAATTTGCCAACAATCATATGTGCTCTATGTATGGCTTCTTTAGTTTGGAGGACACTTTTGATAGTTGGTTGTGAACCCGGAGTGGTCCTTGGTGCAAAATAATCACCGATTTTTGTTGGTTCATGTTTCTTTCCCTTCCCTTTATGTGTCATTGGTGCTCTACTCTTATTTCCACTTCCAGCTCCTTCATTGATTGAAATGCCCTTGTTGTTCCGAGGAATAGTTTCCACAACCTCATCAGCCTCATCATCAACATTAACGTAAACATCATCACCCTCAAATTGAAAACCACCTAGACCATAAGGATTTAATTCATCATAATTTTCTGGACTTTGCTTCTTCTTTTCATCAAATGCTTTGAAAGACTCATGCATTTGATACTGAATATCTGGGGGAACTTTTTTACATGGCCCAACCTCACTTGATTTCTTTGCAAGATGTTGCGTCATTCTATTAATCTCTCCACCTTTAATAGTTTTCCCACAATACATACATGAGTAAGTCTTCTTTCCATTGACATCTCGTCCCTTGATAACATGTGCCCATGCAATATCAGATTTTCCCCTTGTGGCTTGGGTGGAATTAGCTATTGAATTTTGGCCAGATGACATCCCTCATAACTACCAGGTAGAATAAGAACAAATGAAAAAAAGAAAAATGAAAAAACAATACTCCTATTCAAATTAAAATTCCAGAAAGTAAGATTCATTACAATACAATACAATAATCATAATAAAAAAATGCTCCTATTCTGGCCAGAGACTCAATTATTAAAATAAAAAAAAAATCAGATTCAATACAATAATTAAATTAAGTGTAGTTAAAAATTTGAAAGTTAATTTTCTTCTAATTATTAGATGCATGTAGTAAAATAGGTCATAAGAAAATGAAAATAATCATAATTATTCATGGCTGTGCAAAACAAGAAAAAGGAAATCAAACAATTAATATAGTATATCATGTGACAAAATTTTTCAATCTATGTATAGCAACAACAACAGCAGCAGGACAATTAAATTTTCATTGTATCTATCTACACCAACAATTAATTTAATGCATATAATCTAAACAACAGGGGTTGGAGGAGTTAAGTTAATTATTTGGTGTACAAGAGAGAATAGTCAGGAATAATTCCCATTCTACCAAATAAAGGTGAACCACAAATTTAGCTTAACATCACAGTGTGCATCGTGTTTTCACACTGGTAGAACACAAGTTATTTGTAATTAATGATTTATTTTATTATTATTATTTTTTATCAAAAGTTGATTTTTCCTTCTTCCTTTCATAGGAAACTAAAAGTTCAAAACAAGAAGTACATCAAATCAAATAGATCCAAACAAGAAGAACACAGGATTTTTTTTTATTATTTTTATTTTCTATAAAGGAAAACACAAAATAGATCCTTCCTTCAAGTAGACCCAAAATTTCTAAAAAACAAAAAAGAGATCAAAGATCCATCAAAATAATACCTGCAGGCTGGAGGCTGAGATTCTTTGGCAACAGTGGTGTGCGAATCTGTGTGTAAAGTTGAGAACTTGATTCATTAATGGCAAAAAAAAAAAACAGAGAGACAGATCGGCTGCTCTTAAAAGAGGAAGAGAGACCTATGTGAAGAAGTGAAGAAAGCCCTAGATGGCTGCTCTTTGAAGATCAGTAACGAAAAATAAAAGTATATCTGAATTTTTTTTTAAAATATATATATATGCATGCAAACCTACCCGGTTCAATCAACTCGTGAACGGGTCAACTGGTTCACCGGTTAAACCGCGAGTTTTACCGGTTCTCAATAAATACACCGGTTTTTACACTTGACTGGGTTAAGAGGTCCAACCGGACCGAAACCTCACTCGGCGGCCGGTCCGGTCCGGGTTTCAAAACTTTGGATTTGAGGTCCTTTGGAGCTTTGTTTGAGCCTTGAAAGGAGATTTGAGCTTGAGTTAGTGGCTGAATTGCACTTTGCTTCAAAGGTATTGCACTAACCTCATTTAAGCTTATTGTGCATACTTGATTTACCATCCTTTTCAACTGTTTTAAGGCTATTTTTGAAGTGTGAAAAACTTTGTTTTTGAGGCATAAAAATGGTAGTTTGAGTCTTTGTGAGTTAAGGGGTTGTTCCCTCTTTTTGTTTCTTTTTTTTTTAAAATATATATATGCATGCAAACCTACCCAGTTCAATCAACCCGTGAACGGGTCAACTGGTTCACCGGTTAAACAGCGAGTTTTACCAGTTCTCAATAAATACACCGGTTTTTACACTTGATCGGGTTAAAAGGTCCAACCGGACCGAAACCTCACCCGGCGGCCGGTCCGGTCTGGGTTTCAAAACTTTGGAGCTGAGATCTTTTGGAGCTTTGTTTGAGCCTTGAAAGGAGATTTGAGCTTGAGTTAGTGGCTGAATTGCACTTTGCTTCAAAGGTATTGCACTAACCTCATTTAAGCTTATTGTGCATACTTGATTTACCATCCTTTTCAACTGTTTTAAGGCTATTTTTGAAGTGTGAAAAACTTTTTTTTTGAGGCATAAAAATGGTAGTTTGAGTCTTTGTGAGTTGAGGGGTTGTTCCCTCTTTTTGTTTCTTAGCTTGTGAAGCTTTTTGTGCCATCTTTCATCACATTTAAATCAAACTTTTTAGGCCTCTTAACCACTGAAATTCAGGGTTATTTTAGTGACAAAAACCTTCTTTTGAGGTCCAAAATTGGAGAGGTTAGCCTCTCCTCTTTGTTGTCTTGCTTGCATGCCTAGTTGCCTCATAAGTTAGCATATTTTTGTAGCTTATCTTAGCCTATTTCTAGTATGTTTTTACCTCTGATTTGGGCTACCTTAGCTCTATTTTGGGCTATTTGTGTTGTATGAGTGGTCTTTTGCATAGTTGTAGTGCAAAGGGCTTCACTAGTTTGGTGTTCTAGGCTTTTAAACATGAATTACTTGAGTTGCTTGCATGTTGTGGTGCTATTTTGCATGTAATTTCAGCATCATAAACTCTGTCACATACTCCTTTGTTTCACTCTTTCATTTATTTTGAAAGTGGCTTTAAACCCCTTGTTGGCTTAAGTGTGAAATTAAGACATTCATGCTTAGTGGTTTAATCTTCTCAGGGGTTCATTATTAACGGCATGAGGTCTCTTTCATGCTCAAAGCACTCATGGTTTAAGCTCACTTTCTATTAGAGGACACTCACTTTTGGACTAATCAATTAAAGAATGGATTGGTAATTTAAAATGAGTAAACAAAAATGAACAAGTAAAAGAGGAAAGATAAAGCATCTTTCGTGTTGCATTGCATGTGTTCGGATCAGACGTTAATTCGAACACGAGAAAAATGGGACGTTTCATACTTAAAGTGATAAAATAAGCCAATCTCCTTGGTCTCTATTGCCCTTGATCACACATGATAGGGTGATGGTCTTAAGTCTTTTTTTTACATACAATGAAATTGTATTCCTTGGTTCTTTGGCCATCATGCAAAAATTTCTTGATTGGTGGTTTTGGATCCAAGTGTCCCACTCCTTTGAGGTTTTGAGATGATAAGGAGGGGGACAGTACAAACAAACCCTTAGAAAAACCTTCATTTTGCTCTGTTTGTGCTCTGTTGCAGTATGGTGGTTCAGAGCATCAGTGGCCGGCAGTGCCCCATCCATGGCCAGCAATGCCTCATTTCTGGCTGGCAAGGCATCCTTTTGGCTGGTAGGGGGTCGACAGGCCACTGATGTGATCCTCAGCAGAGATTTGGTAAGTTGGAGCAGAAAGTCCCAGGAATATGCTCAACCCTGCAAACAGAGGCTCTCAGGAGCAAAACGGAGGGCTTTTCGGGACAAAAACTGAGTGCATGCATCTTCCATTTCCCGAAGCAGAGTAGTGGCAGCATAGCTTAATATCTCGCATGCTTAGTTAGTGTACATTCGTTTTAATTAATTAGTTTACTAGTTGATTAAAGTGTTGTAATAGTTAGTAATTAGTTTACTAGTTATTCATTTGATTTGTAATAATTAGTCTAGTCAGCTTAATTAGATTAATTTGATTAGCTTAGCTTAGAGTAGTTTATCTCTTATTCATTCGGACCCTCCTTCGTGAGGGCATAATGTTGTAATAAGTGTGCGTGCGTGTGTGCATGTCTTCCAACCCCACGTCTTTCTCCCTTTTATTTAATCGCATTTGATGGTTAGATTAGGGACATTTTCAATTAGCATACCTTATACTTGCATGTTTGCATCTATTCATTTGTCTTGTATGCACCAAGGCTCGGCGCATCATTCAAACGGTATTGTAATTTCAATACTTTTTTTAATACTTGTTTCAAAGCATGCTATCAAAGTGTTGCAAATACCATAATTAAGTAGCCGAGCCTATTTAGTCGCATCATTGCATGTGTTGCATTAGTCACTTAACATAGTTAGGATCATGCATTTTTCTAACTAGTTTTTGTTTTGGCTCGGAGTACTAGGTAAGTTTTTATGCTTTAGCATGCTTGCATGAGTGTGATTGCCATATTGCCATGTTTCGTATGCTTACCACGAGGCTATGTACTTAAATGCTAAACTGCATGAATGCCTGTGGATGAAGGCTTGTTGTTTGAATTAAAACGATTCAACAAATGTGAGTTTTAAGCGCACTTTGTTGTGGCAAATCATGTTTAAAGCCCGCTATGTTTGGTGGAAAATCCACATTTTTAAGCCCACTTGAGGGTGGCAAATTCAAACCATTTTCAAAACAAACATGAGTTGAATTGTTCCAAGTCTTGCGACTAGTCCATACTTGCTTGTGTGCGTCACATAGTAAAGCTAGTTTAATAACCAGAATAATAGCGCATAATGTTTATAAAATGACATATTATGATTAGTAGAGGCCGATCTTTGATCGAGCGAGCGGGGGTGCTCATTCCATGACCTTACCCTCTCGTACCTAAGTTCCCGAGCCAAGGCAACTTTGGTGATGACGGACACGTGGCCTTTGGCACGAGTCAAGGTTTCCTAAATTTCTCCAAAAACAAATATTTAGGTGGCGACTCTGTAATCTAGCAAAGCAGTCCAATTTTGGTATTATTTGATTGAAAATCAATTTTCCAAAACGATTTGCTAGATTTGGATTCTTTGGTGATTATCAGTTTCACATTGCACTTATGAGACTAGATTCAAAACCGCAGGAGTCCGAACTATGAGGCCTTTTTTTTCAAACCCTTTCGAAATGTGGGGTGCGGAAAAAGGCGAGTCCACAATTTTTGGCGACTCTGTTGGGGAATTTAGAGAACTTGACTCGAATTCATGATATGTTATTTTATTTTACACTTATGTGTTTCTTTGCATTGCATTTGTATCAGTGCGCCTAAGTCATAGTGTTTGCCATCTGCTATTCTTGAGCCGTTTGCTAGAGGCTTTCTTGGAAAAGCTTGCCAAAAGGCTGATCGGTTGCAGGCTCTGCCACGATAGGAACACAAGCCTTGGATCTCGACTACCGCTGTACCGTTTGATCCTCTTTTCACTTCTCGGTGTTAAGTGTGAGAGGTATATTAGGCAGTTTTGCTGAGGCACCTTTTTTTTTTTGACCAATTGACCTAGTAGCATATCGGAAGCCATAAAGACTGTTCCAAAGTAGTACAGGTTGCTCACCCGAG